GGTGGTATTTTCTACTGCCTTCTTTTTAGCCTCCTTCATCTTGTTTATATGGCACCTGTAGCCAGGAAACATCTGTCTAAAAGGGACGGGATTGGGGTTACAAGAGTTTGCTACAGAGTGTGTTACAGTGAGGTTAGGAGATTCACAGAAATGAGTTTTGAGAGGCTGGCATCAGTGTTGACTTAAAAATTCTGATCTCACATGTTCATTTTTCCTAAAACCGAAGGGTCCCGTTTCTGGAATCTCAAACCTTTGGGCAAAAATCAAAATTGCAGAGTGGATGGAAATCACCTCTTATTTTAAAGGCTCACATACACTTTAGAGAAGCAATTTTTCTAGCCCTGGACTTAAGGAAAATATTATTATTCTCTTACGCCTCTGTTTATTACTATAAACAAGCAACTTCATTTTAACATTTACTCTTTATTGTGTCGCATGAAGTACCTATGTAATGCAAGTATGTACTGTACTAAAATACCTATATTTCCAAATAACATTATATGGTGTAGCCCACAGTCTCTGCAGAAGCATCATGAGTAACCTGTGCCTTTATATTTAACAATCCGTTGTTGGGTGCTGTGAAAAGTATGCTAACAGATGAAGAAAAAGAAATAAAGCTAAGTATGAATACACTTTTCCAAACATATACATACACAGCTTACAATGGAACTCCAATGGAAACAAGTCAAATGACAACATTTGATGTAGTATCTATAAAATGTAGACTCTGCAATAAAAAGCCAGAGGCACATAAAAATATATTTTAACTTTAAAAATAACTTAGTTACAGTAATACTTTGTGTCTTACCAACATGTAGCTGACGGTCAAAATTGCGCGATATAATGTATAGGGATATATAAGAGCTACGAGAAAATCCCCCGAACCCATAGAGTTGTTCAAATGTGAAAACAGAGAACAGTTTTAACACTGAAGAATTTGCCATGGTGAGCCCAAATAATGTAATATAGAAAAGAGTCTAGAAAAAAAGGCTTAGGTGTTAAATAAATTTTGACTTCTTGCTCAGAAAATGCTGGAGTATCGTCAAGTTCTTTAATGTGACTTGAGCAGCCCTTCGTAGCTAGTGCCAATCCTGGCCAAGCCAAAGTTCTTACGTTTCTGGAAACAAAAAAATGTGAGCTGAACATCAGCAATACCCGCCGAAAATGGGTTCTGAATGACTCACTTCCTTTCTGCCAGGACGTTTTTTGTGTTGTTTTTTTTTTTTTTTTGCCTTTCTGTTTTTGCAAACAGGGCATAACAGGTACAAAAAATATTTCGTAGGAACATTATCTTAGAAAACACACAACTGCACACATAGCCAGTGAAGCTCTTCTCTTCGACTGTGGTTTAGTTTAGTTTTTATTTTTTGATACCTTTTCCCCCAAAGGCCGAGAGTCGGCGGTGTCCGTTACTTATTTTTATCCATGACATTCAGCACCTCATCCAAAAAGGAGGGCCCCAGATCGAGCTGCAGGGAGAGGAGGGAACCCGTGAGGTCGGAGAGGGACTCCTCCGACTTCGTCTTCTCCTTGACGAGCTGGTCAAACATGTCCTCGGCCGGCCAGTCGGGGTACTGTTCGGAGAGGCTGGAGGAGTGGCTGTCCCTGCCCTGGCTAGACTGCGATGCTGAGCCGCTGGAGCCCCACGAGACGTCTCCCTGGTGGCCCGTCCCGTTCCCCAGCAGACTGCTCTTCTCCGGGGCCTTTTCCTCCACGACCGGCTCACAGCTAAGCCGGGGCAGCTTGGCCGGCCCAAAGGACTCCTGTTTGGAATGAAACGTCACCGGCGACAGCAAGGGCAACATGAGCGCCTGGGACCCTCCGATGGTCGGGAGGGAGATGGCGTTTTTGAGCACCGGGGAGGGCGTGTCCGTGAACATGGAGTCGGAGGTGCTGTTGGCCCGCAGGAACTCGCTGTGCCCTGGGAATGGGCCCAAGCGTGCTCTCTCCTGGTTTCCCGGGAGCAGTTCGTAGTTCCCTTGCAGGAACGAGATGTCACCGAAGACGTCGTGCTGGCCTTCTTTGCCGATGTGAATGGTGTGGCGGAAGTCTCCGAGGGGAGGGCTGATCATATCAGGGGACAAAATGTCCCTCAGTTTAAATTTCTTGCCTTTCTTGTTATTGGCAGCTTTTAGGTAAATCGGGGTCTTGGCTGGCATTTTGGAATTGGAGAATGTCTACTTTGAGAAAGGGAAAAGGGCCACTTTCTTCGAAGGTGTTAGGTTTCCAAAAATCCTTTCTGATAGGATCTGTCACATCATCCTTTTTCTCAAGTAGCTTCCAGAAGTGGCTGGGAGAAGAGCTGGGGTTTAAGAGGCCTTCCTGCAGTTACAGCCAAGGAGGGGTGTCCTGGAGAGCCAGGGACATCATCCAACCCCTTCCAGGATGAGGAGAAACCTGAAAGGGAAACCAGAGCAGGTTATAGTTAGCTGGTCCTTCGGGGTTCACTGGGGCCTGCCTTTTTCACAAGAGCCTGTGAATAATGGCAGGCCCGGTTCCATCTAGAGCCAAGCTTGATTTTGTCTTCTCCATCAAGGAGGATAAAAACTTTAATCTTCGGATAAAAATTTAATCTTTGGGTCTTTTACTAAGGGTCCACTAATCTTAGTCTTATTTCAGGGGGAGAAAAGGAAAAAAAAAAAAAAAAGGAAAGAGATTGAAAAACCTCATGACATCAGCACTTTTTAAACATGGCCATGGATACAATTTTCTGCACATGTCTAAGATTTTAGATTTTTCCTCTATCATAAGAATGGCTGTCAGCATATGACCAGAGTGATTTCAGCTCCTTAGATACAAGCGGATTTGCTTTACAATGTGTTTTCTCCTTTGTCTGGTGTTCACACTAGCAAGACTGACAGTATTTTGTTGTTGAGTCTCGTGTCTAAATAAAATTAATGCAATACAGTGATTAGTCTTATAAGCAAAGGGACTGGAAATATTTACTAAGTGACAGTGGCTATTTATGCAGCAAACTGCATTCTTACACATGAGAAAACAGGGATTTGGGGGTCAAAAAATAAATCACCCTTTCTCAATCACCTACAGCCAGGAAATAGAAGAGCTGCAGCTGGAATCAGGTTGTGGCACGAAGAACTGGGCTGTCAAGGGTTTCAGGACTTGAGTCCTTCTGAGATGGAAGCAAAAGAACAAAACTGCTTCTTTTCACAGAAAAAAACCAGCATTATCATCTATAACAGGCTGGGTCTTCATTTGGGAATACTTTTGGAACATTTACTGGTAAAGCACATATCCTCTCCCTGGGGTGGGTGGAACCCCAAGGAAACCTCTGTGATACGGCTCCTGGTGTCAATGCCTTTGTGGGCACAACCTGGGACTTGCTTCTAACCTACAGAATATGGCAAAGGGGATGGGATGTCCCCCTTGGTAGGTTATATTATGAAACAGTCCATCTTAGCAGATTGAGAAAGACTGCTTTCACTGGCCTTGGGAAAGTAAGCTGCCGCGCTGAGGGAGGACCGACAGAGATAAATTCTGCCAACGACCTGTGGGAACTGGAAGTGGATTTTTCCCCCCAGTTGAGCCTCTGATGAGACCGCAGCCCTGACAGCTGGCTCACCGCCTGATGAGACCCTGGAGCGAAGCCCTGCCTGGATTCCCAATCCACAGAAACTGTGGGGCAATCTCTAAGGGGTGGTGTAAGCCACCGAGCTTGCGGTCATGTGTTATCAGCATGGAAAACTCACACACCCTCCTCACACATGCTACTTAACACAATCAGAAGTGCTAAGCTAGGAGGTGTGGGGCTCCAGGTTCTCATCCTACAGAGGAGAAACTCTTCGTCTCTTAAAAATAATCCTCTAGGGGCTCCTGGGTGGCTCAGTTGGTTAAGTGACTGCCTTCGGCTCAGGTCATGATCCTGGGGTCCTGGGATCGAGTCCCACATCAGACTTCCTTTGCTCTGCGGGGAGCCTGCTTCTCTCTCTGCCTCTGCCTGCCACTCCCCCTGCTTGTGCTTTCTCTCTCTGTCAAATAAAGAAATAAAATCTTTAAAAAAAAAAAAAAATCCTCTAACTCTTCAGTCACACCAGCTGACATGGGGAAGTTAAAACCTTTCCCACAGCGGGAATTCCTGAAATGGCTCAGCTAAGACCTCTCTCATCGGGCTCTCCTCCCTTTGGCAGCAGAGCAAATAGATAAATGTATCAATCAATACTCAAAGGGCTGAGTCGGGTGGTGGCTTGAAGGGAGAGCCAGCCACATTCGCTTTGCAGCAGTTGGAGGCCATCCGTGTCTGCTGTGTACTTCTTTCCTTTCGGCGAGAATTTTAAATCCATTTCCCTGTGGCAGGTGGAAAGAACGGTGCCCTGGCACCCTCTGGCAAGGTACCAACTAGCTGTTTGGGAACTGGCTTGCACCCAGGCTCGACAAGGTGGAGAACGAGGAGCTGGAGAGGCCCACCATGCCCTGGCTTCGTGTGTGGGGAGGAGGCCCAGGCAGTGTGCGAGGGGGACTGTATCCGGAGTTCGCTAACCTAGCTGTCACCTGGGACCACACACCTGCCATCTTTCTTTTCTATTTAGTCCCGATCCTGGCTCCAAAAGCTCCCCAAGGTGTTGCTGCTGTAGCCACACAAAGGTGCCCCGAGCTTCTGCTTTCCACTTGAGGTTAGGATCCCAAGGAAACACCGTGTTACTAATAGAGGTGCTTGATACTGAAGGGGACATGCATGTGTAAGAAGCCAGTCTGGTGGGTCCAGATGCTCTCTCAATTTTCACTCGAATTTGAGTCTGGTGGCAGTCACAAATGTTACAAATCCAAAGCCTTGGATCCCAACATCAGAACCTCCTGGTAAGTGTCTAACAGCCCGGGGCCCCTGCCACCCGGGGTAGCTGGCCTTGCCTTCCTGCGCCTCTGGGCACAGCGTGGTGGGTGACAGCCTGCAGGGGCCGCCAGGGAGCCCAAAGAAGGTGGGAGGCAGCCCGAGGGACAGGTGCCCACCAGAGTGGTGTCCTCAGCATACACGGCCAGGACGACAGCTGCCGGGGAAAGATACAGCGTGTCCACCAAAACTCAGGGGCAAGTGAGGGCTGCCCGTGCTCAGCTGGTGGAGTCAGGGTTATGCGAGGCCAGAACCCGAGGCAGAGCACCTCAAACTATGCAGAAAAATATCACGTAGATGCAGCCAGCGAACGGTTCCCTGCCCTGCTGATGGCATCCCACACCATCACCCTGCACTTGAACAAGGACTGGGTGAGCTGGGGAGAAGGGAGAGGAAACACTTGTGCCCGGAAGGCTCGGGGCGGGGGGAACGCCCAGCCCTCCTTCCCTCCCTGCCCGGCCACAGCCATGACCATGACCACGGCCACTACCATGGACACTGCAAGCCGTTCCCCAGAGGCTGGCTTGGCCTGGTCGGAGCTGGGTTTTATGTCAGCGGCATGGGCACGAAGGTGGGAAGGAAGTGACAAAAAGTAAGGAAAGGCTTGGTGAGTGAAAGCCACAAGGGCTACAGGCAATGAGACTGGAGTGGGAGAAGAGAGAAGATCCTGTAAAAGGCATTTTTCTTCCTATAAACATTTACATAGTGTTTACTGCCTGACAGGGATGTAGGCTTCTAGGACTTTGCAAACAATTTGTATTGAATTTTTTTTTTTTTTTTTT